TAAGTATTACTCCTACACTTCACTTAAAGTAAGACTGACACTTAAGAATTACTCCTACACTTCACTTAAAGTAAGACTGACACTTAAGAATTACTCCTACACTTCACTTAAAGTAAGACTGACACTTAAGAATTACTCCTACACTTCCCTTAAAGTAAGACTGACACTTAAGAATTACTCCTACACTTCACTCAAAGTAAAACTGAGATGCTTGATAACTGACTTTTACTCTCAGCTTTTAACTAAGAATTATTTTACACTTAAGTCCACTCTTTGCAGCATTCTTAAGAGGAATTCTAAGAAGTTTTAAACATATGGGCCCTGGTTTATATATGTTTTCATCTTAGTACCACCTGTTGAAAGACATGCAGCATCATTCTGAACAATATGTAAACAATGCAGATTAATCCAAGCCAGCAGACAAAGGTATTAGAGATAAACCTAGGCTTGACATAACTTGATCTATTACTAATAAATGTGTGTCAGGCAAGTGCTATAACACTTTATCGTCCAATCATATTTACTGTACATGTTCACAATAATTTTACAATTAACATTACTTCCTCTTTTACATTGCCCTACAAGATAAGTCAATCCAACCAATTATGGTTTTGCCAAGCTCTGCCCACATCCACCCTCCACCTATTTTCCAAACTCCACCAATCATGGTTAGGAAAAACTCCACCCACACAACAAGAAACTCCCCCTATGCACTGCGAGGCCCAAGTAGGGGTCTCTGCGGATGCATGGGCGTGTCCCAACGAAAGGCGATTCTAAAGCAACACACCTGATTTGACGGACTTTGTTAAAGAGACTCACCTGACTGGAAGGGCAAAAAAAGGGGCGTCACTGTACGGCACCACCTGACTGGACAAGAACAAAAGGGGCGTTACTGTATGGCACCACCTGATTGGACAAGAACAAAAGGGGCGTTACTGTACGGCACCACTTTTTCTCCTGGTTAACCTTAGTGTTGGGGTCAGGGTCAGGCTGTTTAGAGGTCAAGCAGGGTCTAAGGATACCATCATGTAGTCCTCATAGCCCACAGTGTTTATGCTTTAGACACGCCCACTCTTGTGACACGCCCACTTTCATTCCGCAGATAACCCCTTCTCGTTTTTTGGCCAGTTAGCTGACGAAACATGCTGATAAGATGAAAATATATTTGTTATTAAGTGTTTTGAGTGCTTCAAGACATGGAAAAGTGATTTTTGTGGCCAGGAGAAGTAACTTTCTTTGAATAAAAAGACTTCCAGTCGCCATTTTGAGTTGCTGATTTGGAAATATTTGAGGACAGATATGCATCAAATGTGAGTAAAAAACAAATATTTTTTCGCTGCTGGTGGTTTTAAAAGCTGTGTGG